GAATAAAATAACATTTCTGCTACTGATGAAAAAAACTGGATGAACTGCTTGATGCTCAAAAAATTTCTAATAACAATTAACATCAAGATCTGCAGAGATATTTTATTCTGTTGACCATTACATCTCTTTTTAACTTTGAATATTTCATGGTGAAATGATATCATATTTACTTATCATAAAAAAAATGATATCTTCAACTATTTGATTTTTATAAAAACTAAAATAATAACATTTAGATAGTTATTCACTTAAATATTTCTTTAGGTTCTTATTGATATGCTTATTTTAATCCAAAAAACTTTTTAATTCATAAATATTTTAAAAAATTCAATCTTCATTAGAATTCTAAAAAAAATGACCATATTATTCATTTATATAAATGATCTTTAAAGTATTTTTCTATATTCAACTTGGTTTACTAATATATAAAATCATTAAAAGCAAAACTTATTATTTATTACATTGTAACTAATACTTATTTTATCATAAAAATAAATAAGAAATAATAATTTTTATAAGAATGTTATATGACTTTTGTTTTTCTTTTAAATTTAGATATTGAGATCTTCAATCAACAAGGTATGATTACTATTATTACATTCTTTTATTTTTTAAAGGCTTTAAGCTTATTACTTTTGAAGAATTACAAGTTAATTCTCTCGATAAATTTTTAGTTAGCGAATTTATAATATTTTTCTTTGATTTTTACATAATTAATGGAAATAATTTCATTTAAAAGCAAGTATTTAATAATATTATGCTTACGATATATGTTTACACTTACCATTATATATAGAGCCTATTTGGAAATGTGAGCTAACCTGTTTTTTTTTAATTCAATTTTTTTTCTAAAAAAATTTCTTTTTGCATGTCATTTATTGTTTTGATGTGTTGATCTCAAAACTAATTTTAAAAAATAAAAAAAATATCATTTTAATATATTCTAGCATAAAAAACACTGTAAAAAATAACTACAATTATATTTCCAAACAGGCTAATACTACTTTGTGCCATTCAAATTGTTGATTGACTATTGCAATGGACACAAATAGCTAGCAATGATTTCATCTAATATGAAATATACTTTAGGAAATTCTAAAGTCGTTAGGCTTTATTTTCTAGTTTTATCGAGAGCAATAAATTTTAATTTCATGGTGGATTTTGCAATATATATTTGTTTAGAAAATTCTTATGACATAGCCACTCCACCAAGTATAAATACATATCTACTAATAAATTTTGAATTTTTAGTATCAGATATTTAACTCATATCACTATACCCTTCAAATATTGTTAAATAACTAATATAATATAGTATAAATTACTTATAAATTTACTTAGTTTACTAACCAAGTCATCAATATCAAGTCTTATATATTTTATAACATGTATCTAACTCGTAAAGTATATTATTCTAAAAGAAATTTTTTTTTTTTCTAAAGTATATTACCCAACACTATTTTTACTAATTCCACCTCTAATTTACCATATAGCATGATATGACCAAAATACAAGTCATGATAACGATACCACAAAAACAATAGTGTTTTTTTTTTTTTTTTTTGGGGGGGGGGATTACGAGATATTGTAAAATATGATTTGTTTTCTCTTGAAATTTATGCATATTGGACCTCATCTCTAACTTTATAAATTAATAATTTCCTTTTCTGTTAAAATTATATACATGGCTTAATTATGAGACATTTATAAAACATATCTTTAATATTTACTTGTTCTCTCTAAAAACTTATGCCTTGTTGGACTCATCTCTGGGGGGGGGGGGGGGGGCTTCTCACATTCTAGCTCATGAAGGAAAAACCAATGTTTCTTAGTGGATATACAATATTTTTCAATGAATAACAACAGTATTTGGAATTAAAGAAATTAATATATTGTAACAAAACAGATATTTAGTTCACAAAAATTAATTTACTATTCTATAATTAGGATGGGTGTCAAGTGGGAGTGCGTGGTATAGGACTTAAAGTGCTCGGACATGATTAGATCGAAACCTCTGTTTAGCCACTAATATATTGTTCTATTATTAATTGAGTCTTAATCATTGTGATTTTATCAATTTTATGCTAATATTAACCTTCAATCAAGAAAAAAAGAAAGGCTTTTTTTATTTTTATTTTAGCTGTAACCTCAACGGGAGGGAAAAAAAGCCAGCCAAATCCCCAGAAACATAGGATCGTTGACCATATCCAAGGCTCCCAACTTTATCCCCTACCACAAACCAGCATCTAACAAAACGTACATCAATCTCTCCCTGTCTCTGTGATGGCAATCTCCCCTTTCTGGAACATCGAAGTCCATTCATGGGGGAGTTATTTCCTCGAGGCAGCTCTGCGTCCATAGATGACTTGCCAGAAACACCTAAAACACCAAAACCACAACCATCACCACCACTTCCCCCAACACAGCACCAACAATTATCTCTTGTCCAACCACCCCCAAAAAAGAAACACCAACCGAAAGTTTTTCGTATCTTACGCTCGGTTTTTCGAACTTTCCCCATTATAACGTCCCCAGCATGCAAGATTCCCGTCCTCTCGGGGGGATTGTCAGAGAGTGCTCGGGGGATTTCGGGAAGTAAAGTTACAGGGACCTTATTCGGGTATCGTAAAGGTAGGGTAAGCTTGTCCGTGCAAGAAAACCCCAGGTGCCTCCCTTCATTAGTTGTTGAGTTAGCAATGCAAACCAGCGTGTTACAGAAAGAAATGAGCACAGGGATGTTAAGGATTGCCCTAGAATGTGAAAAGAGATCTGATAAAGATAAGATTAGGGTGTTAGATGAGCCATTGTGGACAATGTTTTGCAATGGCAGAAAAGGTGGCTATGGGGTTAAAAGAGATGCCTCAGAGGAGGATTTGAATGTCATGGAGCTTCTCAAGGCAGTATCCATGGGGGCTGGGGTACTTCCAGGGAATTCTGTGGTCGAGGGCCCAGATGGGGAGTTGGCCTACATGAGAGCCCATTTCGAACGTATTGTGGGCTCAAAAGATTCCGAGACACTATACATGATAAGCCCAGAAGGTGATACCGGGCCTGAACTTAGTATATTCTTCGTGAGGGTTTGACTAAGATTACTGAAACGGGGTTTTGCTGTTCTTTTTCTTGAAAAACTCTAAACTGACGTTTTCTTGCTAACGAAAGAGATGACCGGCGAAATCTTCTTCGTTTCTAGTTATTTTTTCATTGTCTTTTTATTTGTACAAATGTAAAGTCTCCTCCAGCAAAAAAGACTAAAGCCTCTAATAACACCTTATAGCAATTCCCATAGTGATCATGCACTCCTTCACTTTGTTTTTAACCTTTTTTTTCCTCTTAATTAGATGGGATTCATAATTTGTCCATGGATTGGGCTCTTAGAGTCTACTAGCAACAAGCTAAACTTGGTGGTAAAAAAAGGAGTATGAAGGGCAAATTTAAAGCTTGGAATGCGACTTTCTAAGAAACCAGTCCCTAGCTAATTACCCAACGCCACACCTTAGATCGGATAAAAAACTTGAACATAAGAAAAGAATGTGCAATCGTTGCCGAGTGTTTTCTAGCTGCAATTTTTTTTTTTTGCAAGAATTTATGTTTTTAGATAATTTCTAATAATTTTAACACAAATACATTGAAAAATATAAAAATAATACACACCCTATATGTTGACAAGGGAAGCTTTTTGGTTGCCGGTGGGTCAATGAAGAAACTCCTCAACCTATTCCCTTGCCTATCTTAAATTTCAAATTGAATTGCGCATAAGATGATGTACTGTAACTTAGTAACAATAACGGTTTTAAATAAAATCCAATTAAAACCTAGTTTATTCTATTGTTTTATTTTTTTAATGTATATATTAAGATGATAATATTTTAAATTAATTTGGTTAACAGGCGGATCATGATTCAAGTTAAGTTTAATAATTTTTTTATTTGATAATAAAAATTAACATGCATAAAAAAACAAATAAATAAAATTTAAGAAAAAAAATCACCTTGAAGGGGCACAAAAATAAAGACTTGCAAATGTTATAAAGTTTTTTTCTATCATCTTATTTAAAAATAAATAAAAAACTAAATGATATTTAATCAAATAATATATATATAAAAGTTATCGACTACATCATATATATATATATATATATTCAAATGAAGGGTGTTGCAAACCTGCTAATATAATTGAAAAGGGCTATATCTTAGTTAAAAAAAGAGTCAAAATCTCAAATTAATTTATAATTAATCTACATTAAAACTATAGTAAAAAACAAAAACAAAAAGGCTAAATGCATTGATCCAGAAGGTCAACACGCTAGAGCTCTTTTTCTTTTTCCCCTTAAAAGAAGGTAGGAAGATGCAGCGTCCACCTTTTATTTATTTAAAAATAGATGATATTTACTCTGCGTCAGTGACCAAAGTGCAAAAAATTTCAAATGACAAAACAATTAGATAAACAGCAATACCATGTGAATCTATAACATTATGTATCTTGCTTGGTGTCAATTTTGACATTTCAGTACCTTTTATCTTTCAAATTATTTTACCTAAAAAAACATTAAATTCATTTTTTTAAGATGTTTTTTTTTTGTGGTTTTGATATATCAAAATTAAATATAAAATAAATATTCATAAAAAAAACATGATTTTAATATATTTTTAATTAAAAATCATCTTAAAAAACACATACATTACATTATCAAACACACAATAATACATCTGCAGACAAATGGCTGCGCAATTTAGTTTTTTCTTTGATTTAATTTTCATCTTTAGATTTCAAGTCTTTTTTTTTTTGTTAAGAAATAAGATTTAAATTTTAGATTTCTTAAGGAACATAATTATTGATTGAATTATAAATTTATTGACAGATTTCAAGTCACTCAAATGACTTTTACCAAGTGAACACCATCAAGAAGTCGAGCACTAAAATTCTCAATGATTGTGAAAGATGTGTTAACCCATATCCATCAATTTTCTAACAAGTAGTACTGATTACTGGGAACCTTCCAGCGAAAAGCAATGAAATGGCATGCAATAAAATACAATTATCAGTCAAATTATAACCAAAGCACATGGAATGGTGCTGGATCATCCATTGACTCGTCTAGGGACTGCAGAAAGTTCGCAGGCATAAGCTATATATAAAAGCTCCTACGGGTCATCTTTGACTGCTGAGACCAAGAAAGTGCGTGTAATGGAGAAACTCGCACAAGATCTGAAGAGAGGATTCCTCAATCTATTTGAAGCTATCAGAGGTAGCAGAACCTCTCAAGGTAAGCCCATCATCTAATATCAATTAATTGGAAACAGCAATACTGCACTTTCATGGCAAAATCCAGTAAATCCCATTTCCTTTGTGTTTTCAGGAAATGAAAACGGAGATGAAGCCACGTCAGAATCAGTGGAGGTTTACTTTTTCTTTCGTTTTCTTTTGTTCTTGAAATCATCTGATCTGTCATTAGGAGTAGAATACTGTCAAGAGACCACTGAAGTAGAGATTTGCCATTGTTCATCTGCAGGAAGTAACTGTTCAAGAAAGAGGCGTCAAAGTCGCAGCCAGGGGTCCAAAACGCCCAGCGGTGCCCAAAGGTCCACCCCCTAAGAATGCTTGAAGAGTCTGCTACTGAAATTCACAAGTCTTGTACCCAATCTTGATTTCTGCTCTAAATAATTTATTTGAGGTTACTTGTGCTGTAATCAATCATCCATGTTCACTTGTATTTGATTTGGTGGGATTCATCTTCTCCACTTTGTTTTAGCCCTGTAGGGAATGTCTTCATAAGATCAAGGGTATAATTAAGTCTTATGACTGATTTCTGGCTGCACGTGAAAAAGTCTTAAATCCCACGACATATCATCATGATATAAAGTTATTGTCACTATCAGTCATCATATAAATTCAATACAGCAAGTTAACGAAATAAAAATCCTGATGAATAGGAAAGTTGAACAAGTAGGAAGGCAGGTTTGCACCTTGAGCTAGCTTGTTCAGTGTGGATGGCCACCGCTTTGAAGTCTTCCTGCTGTAAGCGGCGATGGTGGTGCTAGGGGCGGAGCCAGGGTCAAATCTTTGCAGGGGCCGGCCCTGCCAGCGCCCCTGGGTGGTACCATCCGTGCTTTACACAATAGGGGTCAAATTCTATATTGCTGCTTAATGATTAAAAATGACTCTTCAATCAATCTTTAATCAAAGGGGGTTTGCCCATTTTGATTAAAGATTGAGGTGAATTCAAAATTGTTCAGATTAAATAATCGTCAATTACTGACATTGGTAAACGACCTAAAGCAATTTGGTTATAATTCAATTCGTGATGATTATAGGTAGAAAGTTCATATTCTTTAGTTATTGATAAACAATTAGTTGGACAATACTCTACACAGTTGCCACAAAATATACAGATTTCAAAATCAATACTGTAATTAAGCAATCGTTTCTTTGTTTACACAGTAATAATATTCTTTGTTTCCCTTTTCCTCTTAGAATTTTTATTTAATGATCCTGGGTGTAATCCTAGACGTGAAGAATAAAAAAAAATAAGGCTTTTTTCTTACTTGGTTTTTATTTTTATTAAATGTTCTTAGAATTGTATTTATTCTACATTTTCAACTATTAGAAAATAAATAAAGAAAAAGACTTGAAAAAAAATACCAAGTCATTAACGGAACCAGAAAAAAAGAGATTCAAACCCTCGGTATGAATAACTCGTACAACGGATTAGCAATTCGACGTTTTAGTCCACTCGGCCATCTCTTCTAATTGAGAAAAAATAATTTTTATGTTACATTACATAACAATACATCACAAGTAAGGCTTGAAAAAAAAAGAAGTAAATGATAAAAACAAGTTTAGAACCTCTTTTTTGATATCTACTTGAATAAGTTCCAGAAAATAATTTTTTTTGGACATTTTATTTTTGAAAAGTCATTTAAAAGTTGTGAAAGTTTAAAAAATATTTTTTTTAAATTGATTTTTTTAAATTATTTATTTATTTATTTATTTTGATATGTTAATATAAAAATAATTTTAAAAAAATAAAAAAAATATTATTTTAATATATTAAAAAAAAATACTTTGAAAAACCGTTTTATTTTCATCGTTTCAATTAGGATGACACGTGGTTGTTGTTTTGGACAGGCTATTCACTAGCCACCGGACTCGGGCACCTAACATTAATGAAAGCCTGGAGGCATGCTTCGCTCATTTTGACACGTAAACCATAAAGCAGCCTGTCATATATTCCATTTTCTTTTTTAATAACAAAACTACATGTCGTCTTTGCATTAGCTAACCCACCCACTTCTACCATTTGAAAACGACGTCACCGAACCAAAAGCTCACCACGTCATCGCTGGACTTCACGAAGAAAAGTCCTGACGTGTCTACATAAGGTACCACCACCAAGGCGACCTCAAAAGGCACAGTAACCCCAAGATTCCAGGAATCAGTAGACCAAACCTGCTCTTGTCTCTCTAAGATGGCAAGGGTGGCAGCGCGTGCTATCAACTGTCAGCTCGTAGATAAAAAACCAGATGTTTTCAGCAGAGAAGCTGGTGCAGCTATTCCAGTTCAGGTTCCGGTTCCAAAAATCAAGGCTAATATAGCCGAGAATGGGAAGATAGTGTTGCAACCAAGGCTGTGCACACTGAGGTCGTACGGCCAAGATGGATTTGGGGTAGTGAAGACTAGTTCAAGAAAGGACAGTGGAGATCATGATGATCAGGTGGTGTCTCCGTTTTTTGAAACTTTATCTGAGTATATTGAAAGCTCTAAGAAAAGTCGAGATTTCGAGATCATTTCTGGTCGACTTGCTATGGTAAGCCAATTCATCTCTATACATCTCTCTGATTTTTAACGCAGTTATTAACCCCTTTTATTTTGTTAGATGAGTGATTATGATAACCTTTAATAGTACTAGTAATAATCAACAATAAAAGAAATTTAAGATATGATTTGTAGCCATATCCCATAATTTAAGGAAGTAATTTTAAAAAATCAAGTTACTTGAGAAAAAAACAAATCAATCCCATGAATTAATCAGTGCTCGGATTTAATATCCTGTAATTACCTCCTGTAATTGGATATTGGATCAGTAGTTAGGAACCCTTCACAAAATCAATATTTGTCAACTTGATTTAATCTCTTCCATTTTTTAGTTCTAGCTAGAGTTGAAGATATAAAGCATATCGATCATTCAACTGAGGAAGATTGATCTTCTCCCTTAAGATGTTTTCTTATTCTAAATGGTAATAAGTATTGCTTTTTCTTATTTATAGTGCAAATTATTGCGATTTTGAGTTTGAAGAGTCTCCATATATAGCCGAACAAATCACCTGCTAGAAAAAACACTATCCAGCTCCTCTCTTCTTTGATCTAAACCTTAAAATCCCCAGTTTTCCTATTCCACCCAAGACAGAGAGAAACTTATAGAACATAAACTCAATCTGTTCACTCAGTTTGATCCTTGTCACCTTAGTGCAATAAGAACAATTGATGCAAATGTGTAAGCCCTTCAATAGGAATCACTTTTTTCATGGAATGAATGTTTCCTGCAGATTGTGTTTGCAGCAACAGTAACAACAGAGGTGATTACTGGGAATACTGTGTTTAGAAAGATGGATTTAGAAGGGATTGAAGAAGCAGTAGGAGTATGTTTGGGAGCTGTTACTTGTGCTGCAATTTTTGCTTGGTTCTCTAGCGCTCGCAACAGAGTAGGCCGTATCTTCACGATTGGCTGCAACACGTTTATTGATTCACTGATAGATGAGATTGTCGATGGCCTTTTCTATGATACCGAACCCAGTGACTGGTCTGATGAGATTTAAGCATACGAAGTGCAAGTGCATTATGCAGAGGAAGTTGAGCATCTAAGGAAATTGTGCTTCTATTTTGCAGATTGGTGTATACATATCTCAGGAATCTCTGTAAAATTATGGATTTTGGTTATTCATCATGTTGTATTTTCATTGACAAGTACTCAAAAGAGTTGATCGTGGTTTATCCTCGATTACAATGATACCTATAGTAACTTTCAGTGTATACCTACACACAAACCCGTTCTTAAGTCTTCCGTAAAGTCATCTGTCCTGCATGTAAAAAGAAATTTGCTCTTTTCTTTTGTGTTTACTGGGATTGAATTTCCCAAGCAACTGTCTTATTATTTTCATTACCATGTCCATTTTACGACTTGGAAGTATACTATGTAGCAGGTATGAGCATATACTGCATCTAATAACCTTAGTTTGGTCCTTATTGCCTATTGCCTATTGTCCTCAACGATTGCCAGCAAATTTTTGTTTTCCTTATGAATTTCAGCTTTTACCTGCCTTGTTTTTGGATGATGGTATAGATATATGGCTCCCATCAACAAGAAGGATGTTAAAATGTGATGACATCCGAGAATGTCAAATCCGTAGAAAAAAATATGGCATTTATCGATAGTCAATCAAAGAAACAAATATCTTTCTATTGATTTGTGTGGTGTTGTTGAGTTACTGAAAGTAAAAGACTACTATCGGGGTTGCCATGGACAGACAACAGACCTCGCGTTTGTCCCTCGCGGCTCTTCATGAGACGAAGTGTAGAACAAGATAGGTTTCTCTAGTTTTCTTGTATATCTGTACCACTCGTGCACTTTGATAATAAAAAAATACTTCTAGTCTAAAAGACGTAAACGGAAGGATTCATTGAGATTCGACCCACAAATAAAGCTTTGATTGATATTGACTGTGATTTCCAACACGCACTCTCAAGCTGGAATATGAATGTCCAAAGTTCTAGCTTGCAAAGGAGAGTATGAAATAATATGTTGTCAAGCGTCTTATAGAATATATCTGATATTTATTGAGGTGAAGAAACATAATTCGTCTTGACTAAACCTCATTGTATTTTCTCACACATAGTGACAATTAATTTCAATATATTAATTGCAAGTTCGAGAAGAGACATTTGAGTCATACTAATTCAAGATGTCTTGAATTTGTGTTCTTATTTTTGCTGAGAAGCATGATATGATTGATTTTTTTTTTTTAAGATTTGAGTGCTCCTCCAAGAAAGACATGAAATCCAGTAACAGAATCATCTAATTGTTGGAATCTATGTTGTGATGGGTCTGAGTAGTTTATCATCTGAAAGTATGAGCATTTTATTTTGTTCTATTGGGAATTTAGTTGGTTTTTCTCTAATCTTGCATCCTAAAGTATATACAAAGTGTATTTACACTGAGAAATAGCTATACTTTACTTTGAGTAAGCAACCACAACTCCAAGGAAGTATCTGAGATTATCCAAGTTTTTTATCTAAAAATTGTTGTGTAAAAATCTCCTTTTTAATTATGATAATGTTGTTTCCTGTGATGATCATATAACCTACATAAAGTAATATTATTGTGAAAGATATACCTCGTATCTTGGTAAACAATGAATAATCTGTCTTAGATTGTTGAGATTCAACTTGTTTTAGATTGTTGTTAAGAACTTTGAGAACCAATCATGTGATGTTGCTTGCTTTAAACCATATAATGAATTCTTAATTCAACACATGATATTCGCTTCTTGATGATAAAGGCCAAAAGGAGACAACATATAAACCTTTTTATCCAAATCACCATGACGGAATGAATTTTAAACATCGAGTTCATGCAAAGACCAATGTTAAACAGCATCAGCAACAAGTAAGCATTCAAGGGTGACCAATTTGGTTACGGGTGAAAAGGTCTTGGTATACGCAAGACCTTCCATTTATGTATACCCTTGGACAAGGTAAGCTATGTATCTTTTGATCGTGCCATCAGAGTGATATTTACTCTTATATACCCATTTGCTC